TTGTTTTTTTAACATGCTTTCATTCTGTATACGTTGTTTTCAGTGTTTAGATATATTCTTTATTATATATTCTTTATTATATAATATATTTAAAACATATTTAAATTGAACAAATATTCTTAGATCATGAGTTATGTGATAAATTTGAATTTGCCACTACTAGTGATACTCAGATAGAACCAGATTCAGAAAACGATAACTATTTTAAGTAATATTAGTTTTATTTTGATATTAATTTTTATAGGAGCCACTACCAAGCTTATGCAAAAGAAAACATGATAACCAACAGAATAGTAAGCAAGTATCTACTCCTGTAACGCAAAAAAAGAAACAGAAAACAATTTTTATGCATACTCCACATACTGTACCTCAAGGTATTAATTGAAATTCTATGGATGAACTTGCTGCACAGCAAGTTCATCCATAGAATTTCAGAACTATTTGTCATGATATTACTTTAATTACTGGAAAGAGTTTTTACTATTTTAGAAAGTTATACTATTTTAAATACTATTTTAGAAAGTTTTTTAGAAAGAAATACTATTTTAGAAAGTTTGTTAACCTAAAGGTTTAAGAAAATAATTACACCACATTATTTTTATAGTACATTTATAAAAAGTTACAAGTAGATTAACTGTACTATAAAAATAATGTGGTGTAATTATTTTCTTAAACCTTTAGATTAACAAACTTTCTAAAATTGGAGGCAAAACCATTAAGACAAATACAAAAAAATGTGATGCAAAGGTTTGTTAAAAGTAGTTTTAAATAAAAAATCTTTTGAGTCCTTTTTTATAGTTTGTTTTAAACTTGTGTTAAAAATATGTGTAGCATATATTTTTAAAAGTTTGACGAATTCAAATCAGACATACAATTAATCTTTTTTTTTTTTTTCTGTCTGATTATAATTTTTCTTGTAACTGTTTTCTTTTACTTTTGTATTTCCTTGATTTAAAGAACAACCTTAAAGTACAAAGGTTGATTTGTAACGCATACTTAACCTTTTTTTTTACTCTATATATATACATACATATATATGTATGTATATATACATACATATACTTATATGAATATGTATTATATATACATATATATATATATATATATATATATATATATATATATATATATATATATATATATATATATATATATATATATATATATATATATATAAAATTGTACTTGATAAAAATAAATAAAGTTGAACATTTTGAATAATTATTGATTATTATGATAAATTATATAAAGTATAAATATTTTGCAAAAACACTTTTATTTGCAATAACTGCTTCATTGCATTGTGGCATGCTTGCAATTTATTTTTTATAGTTTCTGTCAACTCTGGGTTATTATGCCAGATCTTGATAATCTCTGCCATAAGATCTTGCTTATTAGTAGGATTTTTTCCAATCTCTTGCTTTACTATTTCCCAAATGTTTTCTATGGGGTTAAGATCATGCGAGTTGTCTGGCTATAACAATACATCAACTAAGCCATAAAAGTTTTTATTATTTAGCATGTTGCACCATCTTGCATAAATATAAGATTTTTGACATTATTTTTAATATTTTTAAATTTTTTTGTCAATTTTTGACTTTTTTGGCTGGACATCAACCCCTCTTTTTTAGCCTTCTACAATTGGTCCGGTCTGACACAACAATTACAGCTTCATGGATAAGCTTAGTGGCTTTTTTTCTTCTTTTCCAGGCAGATATTTCTGATTATACTGTCCGCTCTTGGTGTTTTCTTGCGTTTAGAAGGTGGTCTCCTTGGACCAAACTCTTCCCCTGTATCAATTCTTTTTCTTACTTGCATTTCGGTTTGGTAAGAAACCTTTGCGGTTTGTGCAATTTTTCATTGAGAATAGTTTGTATTTTGTAAAAGACATGTTTATCAATTTTTAATGTAACTATAATAATAATAACAATGTATAATGCAGGTTGTTGACCAATGGTTTATAATCAAAATTTAATATGGCTGGCGGTAAAGGTAAAAAGAAGTTTAAAGGAACAAACGTTAGGTATTTACTTTAAGTTAAGAGTAAAATTATATATTTTTTTAAAAATCACAGTTCGTTTTTTTAATGCTATTTTATTTTTAACTTTTTGATGTATTTGATACAAATTACTAAGGCAATACCTTTTTTATAGAGAGAGTTTTGTCAATTAAAGTGACTACTACAGTTGCCGAAATAAGAAAAGGAATAATGACTTCATTAAAATACGCACTCGACAGATCAAATGGTGGTGGTCGGCGCGTAGAAGGCGATTCACCCGATGTGTAACATTTTTACTTTTTCCTAGTTGTTATGGAACTATTGATAATAGTTATTATTGATAAATTGATAATTATATTACTGATAAATAAAACTTTTTTTCTCAAACATTTTATTTTATTTGCATTGTATATAAAGTCCGTTGAAGCAATTTAGTTGTATCTGAATAATTTACGTGAAATATAATATCCTCTGCTCAAATTATTGCTTATTTATTGTGTTATTTTATTGCAATTAAAATTGAGATAATTTTTTAGTTAATTGGATTTAACCAAAATAAAAAACAAAAATCAACGTTGAATTTACGTTGTTTCAACGTTGTTCTAACGTCTTATCAACTACGTATCAATCGAATATATCACCTATTCAAAGTTAAAATATGGTTGATATGTAGTCGATAAGACGGTAGATCAACGTTGAAACGACGTAATCATCGACGTTGTTTCAACGTCGTAGTTTTCGACGTCGGATTTTCTTTCCAATCCAACCAAATTTCAACGTTGTTTCAGCGTGGCAAATGGTGGGTTTACGACGTTGTTTCAACGTTATTTCAACGTCATTATGCCTGCTGGGCTATGTTCACCACATTCAATTTTAAATTTGCTAAAATTCTGATATTTATGTTATTCTATTAAGGTTGTTACAATTATTTTATTATCTTATTCACAATAAGTTATATATTCATTATCTTATTCATAATAAGTAATTATATATATATATATATATATATATATATATATATATATATATATATATATATATATATATATACATACATATACATATATATATATATTTATATATAGATATATATAGATATATATATATATATATATATATATATATATATATATATATATATATATATATATATATATATATATATATATATATATGTATGTATATATATATATACATATATATAAAATTGTGTTTACCTCATTAACTTTCAGATTTTCAGTGATCAAAGTAAATCAAATCAAATATATTCTGAATAAAGTTGACACATCAAGGTTATTTACAAATAGTAATAAGTAATAATATGAAATAAAAAACAGTAAAATTCAATACTAATGAAATGATGCTAATATTATTAGCATCATTTTATTATTATTGAATTTTTATTAATAATAATTATAATGCAAGTAGGAATAAATAAAAATAGCAGTTGTAATAACAGCGATTAAAAATAATAGTAAAGATTATAAAAAGTATACACTATACTATTTTAATAATAATAATAACAAAAGTAACAGTTAAAATAACAACAATAGTAATAATGACAATAATAACAACAACAGTAATATAACAAAAACAGTAATATAAGAAAAAATTATGACAATAATAACAACAGTAAGAACCACAATATTTATAATGATAAATAACTGGATATTTAAACTTTATAACATAAACTATTTTTTTAAAAAAGTATTGCTTATAAGTCTTATACTTTTCTTCAACTTCATTATGTATAACCCTAACTCTGAGCTTCTATTTATCTATTTTTTTTTTTTACTCTTTTCTGTTGTGTTTTAATATTTTTTGTTAAATTTAATAAGTTTAACAAAAAATATTAAATCACAACAGAAAAGAAAAAAATTAGATAAATAAAAGCTCAGAATTAGAGTTAAAAATGATAAGTTAAATAAAAGTATAATATTTATAAGCAATGTTTTTCTACAAAGTAGTTATTGAGAGCAGTTTTAAATTTTGAGAATGACCTACATTTTTTACATGACAAATTCAGTAAAAAAATATTCATAAGGAAATCGCTTGAAATTAAAATTTACCAAGAAATGTACACTTAATTAAAATTAATGAATTTTTATTAAGTTTTCAACTCAAGGTAAGTACTTTGAAAAGTTTCAAACGACAGGTTTCTACAACTATATATTCATATCTCTGGATCTTCAACAAAAATTCCGTAGGTCGCTCCTCCGGAACATTTCTCGAATGTAAACGTTTCGGCTATAGAAATTTAGCGACGGTAATTTTTATAACATTGAAATAAATCATTTACGCCGATAAAATTTACAGCTGGTAGCATTTTACGCCGATAAAAAGTTTTCTAACATTGACCCCAAGTCTGGAAATGATGGCAAGACGTAATAAATTAAAATGATATAAATTTTCCCGTGACATGAAATAAAAGGTTTATGGCAAAAAAACTCTGACCGACGCAGATTTAAAGTTTGTTAAACTGTAATTTAGAGTTTCTATTTAACAAATAAAAAATTTTTTTGCCAAAGATTATCTGACTACAAAAATTAAAAATTTAGTATTTTATTAAAATATCTTATAAATATAACAAAGAACGTTATACAAAATAAAAGTTTAAAAAATTACAAAATTACGAGATGAAAAAAAAAAAATGAAGATCAATGAAAAAAAGTTAAAATCGATGCTTACTGCGATTTATAATATGTAGATTTGCCTAATTTTCTAATGATCCGGATAGGTGAAAATTGAGGACCAAAAAGTAAAACCATTTAACGTAACTTATTTAAAATACAATGTTATTTAATAGTTTAATTCAAAAAAAAATTTTGTTAATTTTACATACATTTCATCTACAAACTACCTTTTTTTTGTTAATAAAAACTTGTGTGTTGCGCAGTCAAAACGTTGTTCTTTTGTTTTCAAAAATAATATTGATGTTTTGGTCACACCATACGAATAAAGTTTACTTTTAAGATTATCGACGTTCAGAAGCATATATTGACGATGAGAGGCGTTTGAAATAAATCACAAATGTTTGATGATGCTTCAAATTTTTTTTGTAAATATTGAGAAAATTAAAGCCTTTTTTTATTGAATCAAGTGGAAAGATAAAAGTTTTTTTGTTTTTTACGTAGATTTTACTAATTAAAAAAACTAAAAAAAAGTCAATTTTAGCCGAATCATCGAGGGTTTTTGGCTTTGCAAAATTGTTTCAAATTTTTCAAAAAATACTAAAATAGTTTTATGTTATCATTGTTTTATTTTGTTGCGTTTCTTTTTAATTTTATAGTTGCATATAGTGTTTTTACTGCTTATTCATAGGAAGGTAACTTTTTTATATTACCAGGAAATCATCAGGCCAGAACATTGGCTGATGATACCAAAAATCTTTGCTATTGAATGTATAGTTTTTAAGGGATATACATTCAATACTATTATATGTATAGTCTTTAACCATAATCCTAGCCCCGACAGAAAGTAATGCTAAAAAGTTTTGTTATTGACAGCGCCAATCGCAAAGGTTTTTGGTATCACGTTTTTAAAATTTTATGAATGTATGATTATGTTGATAACATATTTTTTAAAAATATAAAAACATATATCCTTTAAGATTATGCTTTTGTATATTTGAATATTTTTGTATATTTTTTTGTATTAATATATATGATAAACTCATTGAAGCATAATAATTTTCGAATTTTATTCTTTTGAAGAGTTTTTGAGTTCTAAAAGAATAAAATTTGATCCAATGCTTTACTTCTTTATGTTTGAAGCTAGTTTCATAGTTTGCTTCAACGAGTACCTTGTTATACTGTAAGAAAACACTGAAAAATTTAGCTTTTATTGAAACTACCATCAGAACTAGAGCAACTTTTTAAGAGATTATGACACAATACTTCGGTCCAAATGTAAAATTTTGAGTTTTCTATTTTTTCTTTAATACATGTTTTTAATGATATCTGAAAAAAATCAATAATATTTGTTGAAAATAAACGATTGTAGAAACTTGACCATATTCTACTACCTTAATAAATGTTTAACTCTGCTACCTTAAGGTGGTACATCCCCATTAATTTCTATATTTTTTAGAAAAAATCAATTTTTTGAAAATTGGTTTTTTAAATTCAAAATTTTTCATAGAATAATATTATTATTTTTTTTTTTAATAAATAAATAAGGAAGTGTGTACAATTATGTGTTTTGTGGCCATAGTAGATTGAGAAGTCCGTAGCAACGCCATAGCAACGCATTTTAAAACAAAAAAATTTAAACTTGCTCAAGCTTATCAACATCAAAAGCTCTTTTCTACTGCAGCTTCTTGTTTGTTTTTTGCTTCATGTTTATTTTAAAAGCTATAACTTGAACTACTCATGCAAACATGTATCAAAATATAGTGCTTGCATGCTGTTTTAGTTTGTTAATGTTCTTATAAATAAATAGCTAAATAAGATATGGGACGTTCTATTGCTCGAACTAAAAAAAGAAAGTTTTCTTGTAATCAACACCTAAAATCTTCAAAGTTTATTCAGCTTGATTCATCAATTTCTGATCCAAGTTTATCAGCAAGCTCTAGAAAACTAGTAAACACTGAAATATCTGGAAGTCAAAAAAATTACAATATCATTATTAACTTTAATATTTTAAAACTAATGGTTAGTGAGTTTAAATGCCCTAAATGTGGAAATGAAGTTTGTTTGGAAAATGACTTAAAAAGCAAGAAAGGTTTTTGTTTTTACTTAACTTTACAGTGCCTTTGTTTCCCATTTAGCAAAGGATGGCACATGTCTCAGTTTTCAACTGAAAAATTAAGTTAATTTTTAAGTTGTTACTGCTTTTCGTGAAATTGGTAAAGGTTATCAATCTATATGCAAATTTGCTGCAGTAATGAACATGCCATCTCCTATGAATTTTAAAAATTATAGTGCAATTAATAACAACTTGTTAAATATTTATAATGAAGTTGCTTCTGAAAGTATGTCAAGTGCTGCCAATGAAACCAAAGATGTTATTTCTAATTCAAGCAATGTTAATGATGTTTCTGCTTGCCAAGTTTCTGTTGATGGTACCTGGCAAAAGAGAGGTCATCAATCTTTAAATGGTATTGTCACTGCAATATCAAGAGAGAATGGAAAATGTATTGATTTAATTTTGTTAACTAAGTTCTGCAAAGCTTGTAGTTATTGGAACAAAAAAAGTCAACACCAGGTTATCAAAACTGGAAAATAAATCATGTTTGTGAAGCTAACCACAATAAATCATCAGGATCCATGGAAGCTTCTGGTGCTGTTTCAATTTTTCAACGGTCATTTGAAAAGCATAGTTTGAGATATAAAGGCTATATTGGAGACGGTGACAGCTCAGCATATAATGATGTTGTTGCAAGTAATCCATATCCAGGTTTTGAAATAAACAGACTTTATTGTGTTGGACATTACCAAAAGAGACTTGGAAATCGTGCGCGTAACCTTAGAGTTACACTTAAAGGTCAGTTTCTTTCAGATGGAAAAAGAATAAATGGAAAAGGTCGTCTGACAGATAAAGCCATAAATACGCTTCAAATTTATTTTGGTATGGCTATCCGTCAAAATGTGAATAACCTTTATGCAATGAAAAAAGCTGCTTGGGCTGTTTTATTTCACAACAGTGACATAAGTGAAGAGTCAGAGAGACACAAATTTTGCCCACGAACTAGAACTAGTTGGTGTTTGTGGCAGAGTAATAAAGTAACTGGTGAAACAACATCCAAAACCAAATTAAGCTTACCATTAGCAATTAAAGCAGTACTTATGCCTATATTTACAGATTTGACAAATGAAACATTGTTATCAAAATGTTTGCACGGACAAACTCAAAATAACAATGAAAGTCTGAATGCCTTAATATGGAAAAGATGTCTTAAAGATTTTTTTGTTGGGAAAAAAGTTCTTGAGATAAGTATGAACTCAGCTATTATAGCATTTAATGATGGAAGCACAGCAGTTGAAAAAGAAATTAGTGCTGGAGGTATTGAACCAAGTATGTTTATGCAAGAAGGACTTTATAAATTGGACCTCATCCGAATTAAAAAAATGAATCACAAATCAAGTACTAAAGGTAAATTAAGGAGAAAACAGCTTAGAGCCATCAAAAAAGGTTACATAGATATTGAAAAAGAACTGGAAAAGGACCCACAATATAATAGTGGAGGTTTTTAATTGAGCTTGTACTTCTTTTCCTAATATAACTAACTTTTATTTTGTTTTTTGTTTTTTTCTCAAAACGTCATTTTTACTAAATACCTAAATTTTAAAACGCAATATTTTCAGTTTGGGACCATATGCTGACTTGAAATTTTCAGGGTGCTTTTGTTATAAATTGACTTAGGTAATGAACCAAAATTACAAATAAATATCATGTGTAAGTATGTTTAAAATCTTTTTTTCTTTTTTTTTTGTTAAAAATTTTCTTAAATTTATAGAAAATTACTTTTAAAATGTTCTATGCATCTTTAATGCATGATTTTGGTTCATAACCTCTTTGTACCTTTTAGTAACAAAATGTGAAAACTTCAGAGTGAAAGGATATATAGAACTGGAGATTTCTTGTTTTAAATTACACCCATATTTTGGCAATTCTTATGGAATAAGTGAGGCAAAAGTTGGGCAATCGAGATTTCATTAAAAAAAAAATAATCAGCATACTTTTTTAAACTTGTGTAATGTAGTTTTAATTTTGTATGGATTATTTTAAAGAAATTTTTTAGAATGGGGGTGTACCACCTTAATAAATATAAAATTATTTATAATAATTGTTGTTATTAAACTTATTGTATTTATTAAACTTATTACAGATAGTAAATAATACTCTAATATCTAGCTAGCTTAAACTTTAAACGCATTGAATAATTTCTAAATTTAAAACTCCTTTAGAATAGTTCTTTTAATAGTTGCCTAGGCCAACAACAACAACAACAAAATTTATGTTGCTGAGCGTATACTAATTCGTATTAGTATAGCATTTCTCAGTATTTGTGGTAAAATTCCTAATATTTTCAAAAGTAAAATTAAACATAAGTATTTCAACTGAATTCTTAAAAAAAGCGTATTTTCAGAGAGACTTAAAATCTTTAATCCTTTGAATTATTCTTTAAAATTAAATTTATAGTTTTTGTCAGTTTAAATTAATTTTAATCAATGTTCGTAGATTTAATCACTAATTAATCAATGTTCGTAGATTTAAGCTAAAAACAATATAATAATATAGTAATACTAAAATAATATTACTATAATAATAAAAAGAAAAAAAGAATTTTGATGCAAAATAAAAATAGAACTTTGATTAAATGTTGAATTTAAAAACCAGCCTTCCGTTAAACAAATTAAGCTAAATTTAAAGTTAAGATTAATTAGTAGGACTTTTAGTTTGTCGAAGTTTTGAGTAATACTACGAATATTTAAATGGAACACTGAGAATTGATTACAAAAACATAATTCACATCTTTTAAGAAAACTTGTGGCTTTATCCAATTCAAAGTAAGAAATGTTCGGTTTGTTTTTGTCGAGCACTTGATCTTGAATATGTTGAAATTTTATCCGAGTATGTTCAATATTTTTCTTTTTTGGGGGAGATTTTTGACAACGTTACTAAATTAACACGTTACAATTAGTGGTTGCTAGTGGCTATTTGTGAAAAATTCGAGTAACATTGTCGTTTCTACATAAATATGCATTGATTATAATTAGCACTGTAATTAAAATTAATATAAAAGACATTATTATAACGAAACTCTATAATATTGTTTCATAAAGTTAACTTTTTAGGATTTTTAATGAGAGAATAAACCAAACATCCAACACTTTGAAATGTTTAAATCATAGTGAATACAATTTCAAAAAAACATTTTTTTCAACAAAAAACCTTTTTAAAATAAAAACAAAATAAAATTTTAAAGACATTTATCAAATGCCAATTCATTTTTAACGATGTGAAAATTGTTGTTTGAGAGAGAATATTCCTCTCTTTGATTAGTTGGTATTGGTGCCAACCACTCATTCAAACAAAGTCAAAAGATAAATATTGGATGAAATTTTCCTTGGTTGACCAAAATGGTTGTCCTTGGTCCTGAATGTTTCCTACGTTCAAATAATGTGATTAATAAATTGGTAAAATAAATCTAAGTAAATGAAATCTAATTCTCAAAGTAAAATATTATAGTGTTACAATGACCTACGTTTTGAATTATTGAAGGATACCATTGCATATTAATATTCAATAGCAACCTATTTACCAAATTGAATGTCAGCTGCTAATTCTTTTGCTTTCACTTGATTATCGTTGTTTAAATTATCATCATTATTTTGAGTAGTCTTGCATCACCAGTTGCTTTAATACTGACATCTGCTAGTTTAAACACTTAACATTTACGTGGTTGCCATCTTTTCTGCTTATTTTACAATAATTTTAAATAGCTGTAAATAGGCTAGTTATAATAATAGGCGTAATTATTATTACTAATATTACTTATCAGTAAGTAAACTATAATTATTTATCAGTTTGTAATAACTACTGTAAAACTGAAAAAAAAATATTTTAGTAATCCTTCTTTTAAACCAGTAGCGTAACTATAAATTTGGGACCCCACTCCGCCAAAAAAGTAAAGGGGCCCTCATAACATTTTTTCTCAATTTTTTTTCTAAAAATGCCCGAAGGGATACGTGAAAAATTATAAATTTATAAAATGTATTTAATAAAACAGAAATTTGTAACACTCATATTATTATAAACGGTCTTATTATTCATATAAGTAAAATTTGTAAATCTCCGCGGGGCCCTCTAAGCTCCACCCCCCTGCCTTGCGGGGCTATGCTCCCCCCCAGTTACGACACTGTTTTAAACGTAGTTAATAAAAAAAAACTTTACAATAGTATATATTAGCCTAAATATTCTAAATTTTTATACAGATAAAAAAACATTTACGTGCACATTTTTTTTAAACATAAAAAAATTGTCTAACGCAAAAATCAGCACATAGCTTTGACTGCGTTTACTAATGTTAGTAAAACGGGGGCATTTCTAAAATCACTAGTTGTAAAAAAAAAACTTACCCTTATTAACCATGACAAAAAAAAATTAACACATTCACATTATTAATAAATAGTTGCAAAACCTACTTTCACTTGAAGACGGATAAATTATCTAACTTAACTGGTATTTTAACAAAGTTGAATCATTTAAAAGTAATTAAATTTTTAAATTCAAAAGTTGAGTGTCGTCTTCACCTAAATTAATGTTCTATATTTTAATCTGAAAAAAATAATACCAAAACATGCATTTAAATTTGTAGTTTTTATGGCTGAGTTTTCATTTTTTTGACACTTACCTAAAACCCTTTCATTCGTTTTTTGGACGAAGTTTTTCTATTACAAACTACGTTTTTTCTTTCCGCAATGAAAAGTCACATGGCTAAACTCCCTAATATAAGTTATTTTTCAGACATTAAATATTTTTTTTCTGGTTTTTTGTGTTGTTATTTAAAAAATATAATTCCTGATAAATTGTCACAAATCAGGAGCTACTTATTTTATCTTATATAGTTCCTGATCTGTGATTTTCTGTTATTTCATCTTATTCTGATAATTATTGCACTCTCTGATATTTTTTACTGGTTATTGATTTTTAAGATAGCCCCTAATGTCTGGTCAGGTCAGGATCAAAACCACTATTCCAATAAATTTTATTCTAATAACAACTGTTACATATCCCGCTACTTTGTAGAACTCACATATTTAGGCAAAGACTAGCATAACTGTACTTTTAAATACTGACCTTCCATTAGTTTTTTTTTTTTCAACTTTTTCATTCTATAGCACAAGCCTTGTTAAACAAAATTGCTAGATGAATAAACAAGTTGAAAACTTGGTTAAATAAAGGTTTTAGTTTTCATTAGCGTCTCAATATGGTCTATAATAATGGTGTTAATAAGAATACTCATTTGGGTCAGATTAAACAGCATCAATGCTGTAATGTGTCTTGCCTAAGATAATAAATGATGTAATAGTGATAGTGGCTGTCAATTCTTTCTGTTGTTTCTTTAAAACTTTAAACTCAGTTTAAAAGTGAAACTCTAAAACTCAGTTTAATAGTTTGGAGATTAGCTGGCAATATCTAGACTGATTACATAATCATGTAAAATATCAATGTATTTAAACTACCATATTGCGCTTAGAAGTAACTCTTTTTAGTGCCTTTGGTGTGCATTAAACCTATGTAATGATATTTTTGTTGTGATTTTGGGTGCATAACCAGACAAAAGCAAACGCATACCTTAGTGTTTTGGATAATGTTACCATAAAATACTTAACATGATAAAACTTTATTACCATCAATCAATATTTTAGAAAAAGTAGCAATTTTTTGAGTAACTTTCTATTCATAGGATTTTATCTTTTGCAAAATTTACAAGAAATGAAAGAAAAAGTACGAACAAATTTTTCGTACTTTTTCTGCATAAGAATTACCTAATTATTTACTTTTTCTTTAAAGCTGACTAGGATTCCTTTTCACAATTTTATTTGTGATGATTCTTGTTCATTCTTGTGATGGCCTTATTTCTTTTTTTTTTTTTAAATACATTTGAAACAAGGAATAACAATTAATTACCATCAAGCATCAATTTTCAAATGCTCTTGCATTTGAGACTTTTTTTTCACTTTTTTTCTTCTTGTGCAGCTGCTATTTCTGATTCTATTCTTACTTCAATTTGATTTGATTTATTTCATGTTTTCACAAGAGCAACTCTTTTGAGAACAAATATTAATTTTATGTAAAAAATTGATGCGATATGTCTAATGCTATTTTCAGTTTTACTAGTTTTAGTTTTTATTTCAGAAAATATATTCTTTTAAGATTCGAAAAAAATTTATTTGGTTTTAACAAAATGTTAATAACAATTGTTATTAAACTCATTTTCCCGGTTCTTTGATTCTCTGAATCTTAATTTATTTTTCTAATTTTTATTGATGAAATTTTAGTGATGATTATGAGTTTCATTTGTTTTAATAAATATGTTTAAGAAAGAGTTCGGTAGTTTATTTTTTATTTAATTCCTCTTTTGAATCTAATGATAACACTATTTCTGAATCTAATGAGCATACTATTTCTGAATCTAATGACCACCTTACTTCTGAATCTAATGATCATACTATTTCTGGCATACCAGAAAAACAGGCTTTTCCACAAATAGCTTTTGAAATTATTCCAACTTTAGTTGCTAAAATTATTTTAATGTATTTAAAGTTATTTCTTACTTAAACTTTTGTTGTGTTAACAACATTCTTTTTGAATTTTTATATAAGTGTTCCTTTTAAGAACTCTTTTCAATGCTTTTTTTAATACTAGTAAAAACTAACATTATAAATTTTGATATCTGATTTTAAGTCTAATAAATTTTTATAATAATTATAATTGAGTCTAGCAATTTTTTAATTCGACAACAACTTACTTTTTACAATCAATAAAGATATTAGTCTTTTTATTTTACTACTAACTTGTTTAACAAGTTCTTGACATATTATAGGTTTAGATGTATCATGTAAGCTCTCTTTATATGATGTTTTTTGGACATTTTAAATAATTATTAAATTTTCTAAACTTTTATTAGTTGTTACCATTGTCCATGATAAGAACACTTTTCTAATTTTCCTTTCTTTTTTGGATTACTCAAAGCTCCAATTTTGGTCTTGTATTTATTTTTTTCTTCATCAGGGTTTTTACTAAATTTTACTGAATTCCAACACAAAATAGTTTATTTGCTTATGACATAACTCCAGTTTTTTTTTTCTTTCATGCCTTTATCGGGAAATCAAAAGTAAACAAATGAATTGCTGGAAAACAAACTATTCTTTCTCATACGCAAAGTCAAGAAAACATTTTTTAACAATAAATTTATGTCCAATAATTACTTTAAAAGTTAATCGAAAGAAACAGCCGGATTCAAAATGAGCTAGCGACTAGCTAGCTTTATAGCGATTTTCTAGCATTTTTTTTTACTTGTTTTATTTTTTTTTAACTTCTTTAACATCTTTAAAAAATCAATTTTTAGTAATGAGTTTATTATGATAAAGTAATTGAACTTTAAACATCGTGATTTTTTCAGCAAAGTGTCGCTATCTACATATTGTAGCTTTGTACCTAGCTACAAAATATCTCCATATCTTTAACTGATTGATAGCTACATATCAAAAATTTTTAGAGAGCCATTTTATTACTCGCTAAAATAGCCAGTGGGTCTTTAGACTATTGAGCTAGCTGTCGTTGTAGTCTAATCGCTGTCTTTATCTTTACAAATATCGATAACTTTTCGATAACTTAAAAAGATTAACAATCTTCGTGGCAGAATAGCGATTATTAATAGTCTTTATCACTACGATTATAGCTAACTATTCGCTAGCCGATTTACCATCAAGAGCGAAAAAATGTTTGCAAAATGTAAGTCTTGTCAAAATGTAAGGTGATTTTACTTTATTTTTACACACTTTTAGATCTTTGTTTAAATAAAATAAAGCCTGTCTACATATTATTTTGGTTATTTTTTAGTTTAAAAAGTATTGCTGTTTTGATATTCATTTAAAAATATTAAATCAAAATGTAATTTAAAAGTAACCCACTAGCAATAAAGTGTATCGAAATAACAAAAACATTATAGGATTTTAGAAAACTACATGCTTTACTATCTGCAGCACGACTTATCGTATTCAACTACATTCTTTTAAACACTTCATCATCAGGGATTCTTAAGTTTTTGATTTTTATTTTTTATTCTGTTAGTGTAACTACTGTAAAACAAGTTTTTAAAATAAAATAATGATAAAAAAAAATTCAAAAACCGATACTGATGTTTTAGTTTGTTTTCCCCAAATTCAAGATGGTTAATTTTGAAGCAATACTTTTTAATACGGAGTGACGTCACACCAACCTGATTGATTCGAAAATGCAGATTGAGATTTATTTATATTTTCTAATAAACTTTAGAATTTTGTTTTTATTAATATAAATATTTATATTTTAGGTTTTTCTTTGGTTTATGTTGTGGGTTAACCAAGTTATTTATTCGCGTTGCTATGACGTCAGGTTTTACAGCTGCAAATATTTTCATAAGAGTTCGTCCATAAATTACGTCACGCAATTTTTGACCAATTTTGACCTCCTTCCCCCCTTCGTCACAAAATTGTTATACTTAAGAATCAAGTTGTCACAAAACACCAACCCTCCTCTCCCCCCTTATAGCGTGACGTAATTTATGGACGAGCCCTAAACAACTCTGTTGAGTCAGACTTAGTTGGTTTAGCTAATGTTGTTGGAATGTCGACTTCGTGTATTGGAAGGTGAGTTTTCTATACTGAGTATTTTGCAGATTTTTTCAAAACTTAAAATTAATAATATAAAATGTACGTCAACTAAAATAAAATGATTTTAAAAAGTTTTGCTGATTGTTTTATTTATTTTTTTTATTATTATTTATTTTTTATTCAACCATATTAATAAGAGTTTACAAATCTTGTTGTAAATTAATAGAAATTGGTTAGGTGTCACTAATATAGTTACAAACTAGTCAAGGGAGTGACACCTAAAAAACATAATGTTCTCAAAAAAACTAAAGAAATGAAAATAAATTATAAATATATATATATATATATATATATATATATATATATATATATATATATATATAAAATAAAAAACAAAGAGCAAATAAAAATATATATATATGTATATATATATATATATAAATAAATTATAAAGAACATAAACTAACATTATAATTTGTAATGTTAGTTTTTACTAGTATTATAAAGAAATACACACTAACAATATATTTTTTAATTGAATTCTGTTGAGCAGTAAATAATTCGTAACAAGGGGATATTTTTTTTTTTAACTTTTTTATTTATGCAGGAATACACTGGTTCCAATCGGAAATACATTGTTGTTTTATGGAAAACTTACCATATTTAATTGTGTATAGCTTACTTTTTTCTGCATTCCTGGTGTGATGATTATAAATTTCATTTGTTTTAATAAAAAAGTTTAAAAAAGAGTTTAGTAGTTTATTTTGAAGAAAATTAAACACAAAAAGACATTTGTAAAACTTTACAAGATCATGAAGTTTTAGGATATTTAGTTAAGAAAATTTAGATGCGCGTTGTAAACTAGCAATGCTATTAATCTTTTTCTAACAATGCTATTAATCTATTTATCTTTTTTTTTTGCACTTAAGCCTTTGAGTCGATAAGACGTTTTTTTGTTCGAGCGTAAGTTTCAAGATTTTTTATGTATATATATACATTTTTTTTCGTATTCTTTTATTCTTTTCGCTCTTATTCTTTTTTTTCTGACACTATTTCTATCTCTATTATTGCTTCATCTTATCAACTTATTAGTTGATAGTTAAATCATAGTATACTATATTGCCTATATTCGTGTCTAAAATAACAGTTTGTCGTACTTCGGGCACCTATATTAATAGATACCTACACTTATATTTTATTATATATATTTTGATTTATATACTATTATTATAAAAGTAGTTGTGACTAAGATTTTATTTATGCTTTAGTTTGATTATATTTTTTCAGAGTTTGCATTTTTTTTCAGAGTTTACATTTCTTTTTTCATGTTTTAAAGAGTATTGTAAACCTTTCAATTTTTGCTCGTAGTTTTTATTGCCAACGTTTAAGCGTGTAAATGATATTTTCTAATCTATTTTTCTATTCAACAAGTTTTGAGAATAAATTTTCAACTTTGTTTTCTTAATTTTTTGCATTTTTTGTGCCTTGACAAAATCCAAAATTTTTTATCAATTAATAAATATATTTACGGAAATTTTATCACTATATATTTACTAATATTTGTAATCAAATTACTAATATTAGTAACCCAGTGGGCACAGGACGTAAAAAAGACGTCCTTAGGACGTTCAAATCGCGTTTGCCCGTCCCATTAAAAATCTAAACGTCTTTTGAACGTCTTTTTCGCATCCAATAATTTTTTCGTCCAAAAAATATCCAGAACGCTTTATTAAATCAAAAATAATCAGTTAAATCACGCAAGCGCTATAAACCTCCTAAAATTTTAATTAACGCATTTTTAAAAAGTGTTTCTTCAATTATAAAAGAAGTCTTTTTACAACGACTAATACACGTTCTAGCTAATTTTTATTTTTGTTATCAATTACTTGAAAATTGTGGTAGGGTTAATACAGGTGATGAAATTTTTACAGATAAAGGAAGAAACGGTTTAAAACTGAATATATGTTATACTATGTATATATATTATAATATAATATATAGTTGTTCTATGTATCATTAACATGTATCATTAATATGTATCATTATAATATAATATATAATTGTTAATATAATATATAATTGTTCTATGTATCATTAACAGGTTTTCCTATTGAAAAATTCGATTCTGCATGAGATGTCTAAATCTTTGAAATTGTTAGAACTTGGTTCTTGATATAGCAATACTATACTAATAGTATATCAAGTATATATAATATATACTTGATATACTATTAGTATAGTATTGCTATATCAAGAACCAAGTTCTCACAATTTCAAAGATTTAGACATCTCATGCAGAATCGAATTTTTCAATAGGAAAACCTGTTAATGATACATAGAACAATTATCCTGATAATTCTTTGAATTCAATGTCTTTATTCGACAATATTGTGCTATTCTATAATGGGACCAGTACATTAGTTAATGATCTTCTTGAAATATTGGCAAATCAAGGTTTGGAACTTCCCAAAGATGCAAGGAGAATTTTAAAAACACCTAATTAAAAGCGACTTATGGACAGGTTCTTGCTAATTTATATATATTTTTTTAAACATTTAATTACTTGAGAATCGTGTAATATTGATACAGATAATGAAATTGATACAGATATTGAAAGAAATAGTTAAAAACTGGGTATATGATATACTAAATATATACTAAGTATATACTTGGCACTTGATATAGTATTTTAAGTATAATAATTGATATACTATATCAAGAACCAAGTTTTGACTGTTTGAGAAACTTAGACATCGCAGAATCTTATGCAAAGTCATATTTTTCAAAAGGAAAACCTATTCATATAACAGAGAATTTATGCTGATAATTCAATATAATTCAATATCTTTAATTAACAACTTTTAGATTGTGCTATGCGAAATAATTGGACCAGTACATTAGTTAATTAACTTTTTGAAATACTACAATATCAAGGTTTGGAACTTCACTAATAACTAATTACTTGAATTTAGGAATTAGTTATTAGTAAACTTCAAACGTTTTCACTGAAAAATAAGTCTTATTGAAAAAATGAAACCAGTCGTAACAGTTATATAAGAGACAGGAGGGTAGAAAATTTCCCTTACTCTAAAGAAAATTTTCTACCCACCTGTCTCTTATATAACTGTTATGACTTGTTTAATTTTTTTAATTAGACATTTTTTAGTGACTTATCCTACTCTTTTATCATCTGATTTTCTAAAAGTATCCTTTAGAAGATAGATATAAATAATTTTTCTCTTTTATCATTCTTTAAAATTTCAATGTGAATAATTTTAATTAAAATCAATATTTATATTTGTTATTTTATAAAATTTATTTTTTAGTAACTTATCTAACTTAAAATAAGAATAAGAAAAATATATTTAAAGATGGAATTGATTTATTATTTTTTTTGAAATGATTTTCTTATAATGATTTTTTGAAAATTTATGGTTTTAGTTTTAGTATTTGGTAAAAAAAATTATAACACATCAAAAGCATTTAAATCAGAATTTCAGTGGAACTATATAGGCATTTTAGGTAATTTCAGTTTTGGTCATCATTTACTTAATGGTCCATTAGTAGCAGCAGCCTAAAGTGGCTGACATGAATAACCATTATATCACTTGTTGGAATGTTATTGGCAATTTACTAAGTTTTTTTTTTGTTTTGTTTTTAGTTATTCACCTCCCCAAGGTCCAAAGAGGCCACAAAGTCGAGGAGGTTACTCATTTTTTTTATTTATTTATTTTTTGTTGTAAATCGTGGTACAACTCTTTCTCAACTCTTTAACTTTGAAACACGAACCTTGACAAGCAAGGCTGCTGCGCGGAGAAATTAAGTTGAGCACGGTACTTCCAGGGACGTGGTGGGAGTCGAACTCAGTAACCGATGAGAAACTCTCCTTAATTTCTCATCATTTTTTTTTTATCTTTTAGGAAATTTTATTAAAGTGAATGGATTATACTTATTAATAAAGAAATTATATAGTCCTTTGATAAATTGCAAACCTATATTTCTATTGTTTATATATGTATATATATATATATATATATATATACATATGTACATATATATATATATATATATATATATACATATATGTATGTATATATATATATATATATATATATATATATATATATATATATGTATGTATATATATATATATATATATGTACATACATATATATATATATATATATATATATATATATATATATATATATATATATATATATATATATGTATGTATATATATATATAGTAATATGTTAATTTATAATAATTTTTCTGTTTTTATTTAAAATTTATAAAAAGAAATAAGATTCTGTTTTCAATGTAGTTATTTTCTCCTTAATTTTGCTTATTTTTTCTTTTGAAAAATTGTTTTTCGTGACCAAATCTCTTTAAGTAATAGAAAAATGTCTCCTTAAAATCCTTACTTTTAGCGTCAGTTTTAATAATGTAAACCCTGATTTTGTTTTTGCTAAAAATACAAAATATATGTCAAATAAAATTAAAATATGTTTTGTTTAAATTTTGAATTAGTAGAATTAGTTCAAATTTAGAATTATTAGTTATTATTAGTAAATTATATATTTGGAGTTAAAATTAGTAGAATTTGTAGTATTAGTTAAAATTTAGAAATAGATAGTGTCAAACATCAATTAGATACAATTTAAAGTTAAACAGAAAAGTTAAAAAAAAAAAATTGCTAATGCTAAGAAAATAACACTTGTAAAAATATTTTTTATTTTTCCATAAATTTTATTTACTTGTTAATTAAGATTTATTTTTAGGAGCTTCAACTACATCAAGTGTCAGTTGATATATATGTTTTGGTCAAATACATGTTTGTATTTGGTAATAATATGTTACATTTTTGTTTTGTATTTCAAAAACTCATATTGCATTTGTTTAAATATGCATTTAGGAATCTTGAATTGATGTGTTTGTAGTTTTTGTATTTAATTTTGTTTTAAATTAAAGAAATTTTATTTGATTAAATGTATTTAACCCTAAAGTTCATTTTTATTTTTGCCTTCGGTTTTAAAAAAATAAAACAATGGTTTTGGCTATAGTCCATTTTATGTAATAATAATGTAATATAGTTTATTTTATGTAATATGCCTAAAGAATTTTTATTAATAACAACTTTTTTAATTCATTCAGGTCCTTCAAAATTTGAAAGTCTGTGATTCAAAATTTTGCTTTTCCCAAAACAATTTGAAAAAAATATAAGTCAACGATAAATCTTAAAGTTTTACAAAGAATAATGT